TTTTTCACACGGTTTTCGGGGTGACACGTGTCACGCGTGTGTTGTTTCACATTGTATAGCACCATGTTTGTGTCCAGAAGGCGAGTGCAACAATTGGTTTTCTCACCCGGTTTTCGGGGTGGCACGTGTCACCCGTGTGTTGTTTCACATGGTGTGGCCCAATGTTGGCGTCCAGCATGCGGGTGAAACAATGCGTTTTTCTTTCACGATTTTCGAGGGGACAGGTGTCATTTGTGTGTTGTTTGACATTGTATGGCTCCATGTTGGTGTCCAGAGTACGAGTGAAACAACTGTTTTTCCTCACACGGTTTTCGGGGTGACATGTGTCACCCATGTTGTCGTCCAGAATACGATTGAGACATATGGTTTTTCTCTCACGGTTTTCGGGGTGACACGTGTCACCCGAATGTTATTTCACATTGTATGGCCCCATGTTGGCGTCCAGGATGCGAGTGAACTAATGTGTGTTTCTCACGCGGTGTTCGGGGTAACACGTGTCACCCGCGTGTTGCTGCACATTGTATGACCCTATCTTGGCGACCAGGATACGAGTGAAACAGCTGTTCTTTCTCAAACGGTTTTCGGGGTGACGCGTGTCACCCGTGCGTTTTTTCACATTGTATGGCGCCATGTTGGCGTCCAGAATTTGACTGAAACAGCTGTTTTTTTCTCAAACGGTTTTCGGGGTGACACGGGTCACCCGCGCGTTGCTTCACACTGTATGACCCCATGTTGACGCCCATAATACGAGTGAAGCAATTGGTTTTTGCTCACACAGTTTTCGGGGTGACACGTGTCGCCCGTGTTTTGTTTCTCATTGTATGGCCCCATGTTGGAGTCCAGGACATGAGTGAAACAAAGTGTTCGTCTCACACGGTTTTCGGGGTGACACGTGTTACCCGTGTGTTGTTTCACATTGTAGGGCCCCCATGTTGGGGGCCCAATACGCGTGAATTGTTTTTGTTCACACGGCTTTTGGGGTGACACGTGTCACCCGTGTGTTGTTTGACATTGTATGGTTCCATGATGGCGTCCAGACTACGAGTGGAAACATTGTTTTTCCTCACACGGTTTTCGGGGTCACACGTGCCACGCGGGTGTTGTTTCATTCAGGATGGCCCCATGTTGGCGACCAGAAGGCGTGTGAACCAATGGGATTTTCTCAGACGATGTTCGGGGTGTCACTGGTGTGTTGTTTCACATTGTATGGCCACATGTTGGCGTCGGTGTTTGCTCACATGGTTTTCGGAGTGACACGTGTCACCCGCGTGTTCCACATTGTATGGTCGAGTGTTGGCGTCCAGTGCGCGAGAGAAACAATTGTTTTTTCTCACATGGCTTTTGGAGTGACACGCGTCACCCGCATGTTGTTCACTTAGTAGGGCCCAATGCTGGCGACCAGAATGCGAGTGAGACACATGGTGTTTCTCACAAGGTTTTCGGGGTGACACGTATCACCCTTTGTGTTGGCTCACATTGTATGGATCCATGTTGGCTCCCAGAATACGAGTGAAACAATTGGTGGTCCTCGCACGGTTTTCGGGGTGACTCGTGTCACCCTTGTGTCGTTTCACATCATATGATTACATGTTGGCTCCCAGAATAGGAGTGACACGACTGGTTTCTCACACGGTTTTCCGAGTGACACGTGTCACTTTTTGTGTCGTTTCACCATGTACGGTTCCATGGTGGTTCCCTGCATACAAGTGGCACAGTTGGCGTGTCTCACACGGTCTTCGGGGTGACGCGTTTCACCCCTGGCTCGTTTCACGCTGTATGGCCCCATTCTGAAACACACCCACGGGTGACACGTGCCACCCCAGAGAGGGGCCAGAGGCCCCCGTTGCTCGTTTCGTTGTTTCCCCCCTGTTATTGTTGTTTTCTTCGGTTCGTTGCTCGTTTTGCTTTGCTCAGGCCCAACCCAGAATTTCGACACTCGCTGGAACCCGAGGCCCTAGCCGTCGCCGCAGCCCGAGCTGGTTTTTCGTTTCGTTCTTCGTTAGTTTTCGCGAGCGCCTCAAACGGGACCTCGCCCCTCGCCCTAGCCTCGGCCCTGTAGCCCTCGCTGCAGCCTTGGTTTTTGTTTTGTTCGTTTTGTTTTTCGTTTGTTCTGTTTTGCCCTTTCGTCTGGTTCAATCCCCAGCCCTAACCTCGCCCTTGCCTCAGCCGTCGTTCCATGTATTCGTTTGTTGCTCGTTTTGTTTAGCGCATGCCCCAACCGGCAGCTCCCCCCCCGCCTTTGCCCAGCCCTCACCCGTAGCCGCAGGCCGAGTTCGTTTTTCGTCTTGATTTGCTCGAGCCGAACCCAGAACCGCGACATGTGCTAGACCCCCAGGCCCTAGCCGTCGCCGCAGCCCGAGTTTGTTTTCGTTTCGTCTTTCGTTTGTTTTCACACGCGCCTCAAACGGGACCTCGCCCTAGCTTCGGCCCTGTAGCCCTCGCCGCAGCCTTGGTTTGTTTTGTTTGTTTTTTGTTCGTGTGTTTTGTTTTGTCGTTGTGTCTGGTTCAAGCCCCAGCCAGAACCTCGCCCTGGCCCCAGCCGTCGTCCCATGTTTTCGTTTCGTTGTTATTTTTGTTTCCAGCGCGGTCTGCTGAATTCGTTCCGTTTTTCGTTTTGTTTTCTCTATGAGTGGTGGCCTCGTTTCGTGCTTCGTTTTCGTTTGCACCAGTTTCGTTTTGAACGTTCGTTGTGCAGCGGTCGAGTTCGCTTTGTTTTTCGTTCTAAGCGCCAGCGCGTTCTAAACATCGTTGTGCTCGGATCCTGCAGAAATGTCGTAATTTTGCTTCCCGAAGCGCAGCTTACTTCAACTTGGCTCTGGGGAATCAGCTTTGCGGAGCGAAACGGCTTGCCACTGCTTGCGAACTAGGTTGCGCGCCCAGCCGCCGAGAGCGAAACGGTCTGCCATCGGGTGCGCCAAAGGTTGCGCGCTTGTCCGTCGAGAATGAGAAGAGCCCCCTGTCGATTGCTCCATAGGTTGCGCGCTCGGCCGTTGAGAATCAAACTATTTCCCATTGGTTGCAACGTAGGTTGCGCGATCGCTGGCCGAAAGCACAACGACCGCCTGACAGGTGCAACCAGTCAGTCAGTTCAGTCAGTCGGTCACCTCGCGAGAAGCAAATCCGGGCTACGCCCGAAAACACGAAAAACGTCACGTCCTATCGCAGTTCTGAGTTTCCATTCACCCCCCCCCCCTCTCTCTCTCTCTCTCTCCCCTCCTCCCTCTCCCCCCACATGCGACATCCGATTGGAGCCTTGCTGAGGTCGTCCTGGGAGCCTCTGGCCCCTCTCGGGTCCCCCTGGACAGCCCGCGTGGACGGGCCTGGGGCCCGCAAGCATTCCTGGGCGCATCCAGCGAGGCACCGTCACTCCCCGCCTCCTTGATCTCGAAGTACATCGAACTCCCCGTGCGGCAGGCTGTCAGTGACCCCCAGGGGTTTGTTGAATCCGCGGGGCTGGCGGTGGCAAGAATTTGCCAGAGTCTGGGTCCTTCGTAGTCGGTGGAGGTGCAATGGGCATCTGCTGCACGCAGGCAGCAGTTGGTTGAGCAAACATGCTGCCGGCGGAGAGTCTGTCTAGGACGAGGCAATCGTTTCTTCCGCCGACGCCGTACGAGCAATTATGAACAATTCTCGGGTTGAGTCTTGCCTTCGGGTTTTAGGGCGCGGTGCCCAGGCTGATTCTAATCTGCCGATCGGCCATTTCAGGGGGGTTCCGCTTGGATGATGAGAGCGTTTATGAATTGATATCGTTGTGTCGGGGCTATCCAGCTCTGGTTGGCGCAGAGGGCCAATGAGGGTGGTCGTGCTTGCCTCGAGTGGGTTCCATGGCTACGCGAGCACGTGCGTCATCATGCGCAGCGTTGTTGGTGCCGTATGTTGTTACACATTGTTGTTTCTGCGTGTGTGTGTGTGTTGTGTGCGTGTGTTTTTCGGTTGTCCGTCCGTGTTTTGCGGTCCCTGCGCTCGGTATATTCAATCGTTTCGCTCACTCCGCTGGCCCATGTTCCATCATTGTTGCTCTGTTGGCGTGCTCGTGGGGAGGGAGGTGGAGGAGGAGGAGCAGGAGGAGGAGGAGGAGGAGGAGGAGGAGGAGGAGGAGGAGGAGGAGGAGGGGGAGGGGGAGGGGGAGGGGGAGGCCTCTCGATGGCTTCTTGGAGCACTCTTGGGGCCAAAGTGGGTCGTGGACAAGACGCCTCTTCGGGGTGCGTCTTGGGGTCTTTTGGGAGGCGTTTTCGGTGCCTCCTGGCGGCATTTGGGGACCTCCTGGGACTTCATGGTGACCTCTCGTGGGGAAATATTGTCGCCCTCTGGAGGCATCTTAGTGGCCTACGTGAGCTAGGATTTCCCCTCTTGGGGCTCTTTTGGGGGCCTCTGGGGCCCTCTTGGGGAGCCTTTTGTACCGACTTAGAGCCCTCTTGGGCCGTCCTGGGACCCTCTTGGGCTGTCGTGGGGCGATCTTGGTGGCATCTTGGGCCGTTTTGGGCAGCCTGACGCCCGAAAAGGCGGTAACGCCAAATTTGTTTTCCAAAATCTGGAAGATCATCAACAGTTGTTGGTTATATGGGCCTTATTGGGGGGTCCCTTTGGAACGCCGTTGGGGCGCTTTAGAGGCCTTCTGGATTTTGTGAAGAAGACATCTTGTACATATTGGAGCGCTCTTGGTCTGTCTCGGACCCGCTTGGGCTCTCCTGCAGGCTTTGATGAAGGCTCCTGGAGTGCCCTTGGGAGCCTCAAGGGCGACGTCCAGAAGAGAATCATACAGCCCTGAGCCAGTGGTAACCAGGCTGCGCCTGGGGTACTTCTCACCTAGGGAGCCCAGGGGCGGCCCGCGCGCCCGAACTAGAGCAACTGTCAGCCTGTTACTGGAGATTTTAGCACGCCTTTGGCCCGGTGTGCAGGCGCTTCTTTCTCGGATGTCTGTGTTTTCGTCTTGGCGTTTTTTTCGCATCCAGAGTGAGCAGTCATGAAAACTCTGGCCCCACTTGGAAGGCCTCCAACAGGCGACATGGTCACCGACAGGATGTTGTCCCACAAGAAGGGCTGCAACAAGCACTTCAAGGACGAGCTGATCGCCGAGGGCTACCGGGTCCGCCCCTGCAGGGACGCTGCGGAGGGGGAACCCTCCGAACCCTGCCTGCATAAGGAGGATCGCCGGCCCAACGAGATGTCGTCGGAGACGTACGAAATTTGGAAGGAGGGGCTCTTCTATGCGTGCGAGCAGACGGTCGGTCTTCTCGGGTCGGGCGGAAGGAAGGGGAGAACGAGGAGGAGGAGGAGGAGGAGGAGGAGGAGGAGGAGGAGGGAGGAGGAGGCGGGAGGAGGAGGAGCGTGAGGAGGAGGAGGAGGATGGGGAGAGGGGGATCGGGAGAGGGTGGTACGGAATCTGCAACGCGGCTGGTTTCAAGGCCGCCGCCCGATCCCTCCCCGTCCCCTCCTCCTCCCCCTCCCCTCCCCCTCCTCCTCCTTCCTCCTCCTCCTCTCCTCCTCCCTCCTCCTCCTCCTCCTCCTCCTCCTCCTCCTCCTCCTCCTCCCCCTCCTCCTCCTCCCCCTCCCCCCTCTCCTTCCCCTCCTCCCCATCCCTCCTCCCCCCCTCCCCCTCCCCTCCCCTCCTCTCCTCCCCTCCTCCTCCCCTCCCCTCCTCCGCTCCCCCTCCTCCGCTCCACCACCAGCCCTCCACTCTGGAGCCTCCTGCTCCTCCTCTCTCCCCCTGCGCCGCCTGGCTACGCTAGCGCCGCCAGGCGCCAGGAAACCGGCTGCGTGAGCCGATTCGCTGACCCCTTTTCCAAGAGTGTATGCCAGAGGTGTCCCTGGCCCAGGGTGTCCCCAGCTTTCCCGAGAAGGCCCAGAAGGCCTCCAGAGTATCCCATCACGAGGCCCAGGGTCGGCCACAGGGGCTCCAAGATGGCGCAAGGAGCTGGGGGCACCTGGGCCGAGGGACACCTTTAGCAGCCTCCAACCTGGAAGCTCGAAAGGGGCACTTACGTGATCGGCTGGTTTGCTACCCTGACCTCAGCCGACCGAGCTTTTGGAGACTTCCAACGTCCAGGTTAAGCGAGACCGCGCCTCTCGCCTGGCGGCTTGGGTTGGAGAACGTTGGCGTTGGCGGGAGGGCGCGAAGATGCCGCGCATCCGGGACGCGAAGTTGCGGTCGGGAATTTGTGAATGGCATGTCGCTCCGCCGGCTCAGGCCCACGCTTCTGCGCGACACGCTGTCCAGGTCCGAGTCCCCCAGCGCCAATGTCCCGAGCCTTTCCGAGCCTCCCGCTCCGCGGAGCAGGCTGACACGCCATCCGCTTGCGGGCATGGCGTGTCGCCGGGGCCGCCGCGGCGACACGCCGAGCAAAAGCTCCCAGCCGCAGGCGACTTGGAACTGTCACTGCACCCCCCTTTCGCCCGACCCGACCTTCACGGGGACGCCCTCGCGGAGGACCGGCGGCGCTCGGAGGTGGGGCCCCGGGGGGCGGGGCCCCAGGGACGATCAGGGGCAGCGAGGGGTGGGGTGGGGGGATTCCGGGGGCGGTGCATCGACCCTCAATGGCCCATGGATCGTCGATGCGGTCCCGATGGTCCACCCCCGCCCGAGCACCGTGCGGATTCGCCATCGGGGGCCTGCTGCAGATTGATCGGCGAAGGTATCGCCGAGTCCAGCTCGACGCTTCACCGCCTGCGCCACTCCCCACCTGACGCTACCCCTCAGACGAAAAGCTCAAACTCGGAAGGTTCAGCCTGTGATCGGCCTCCTCTCCTCAGCGCCACATCCCTCAGCCGAGGGAAGAAGCGCGATGCTCATGGCCAAGACGTCGCAGATTTTTGCCCGCGTCGCTTTTGGTCATGGTCCATGCAAGCCGTCGCCGACCCGCGAGGATGATCCTCGAGCTGATGGTGCCCCAGATAGACAAGGACCAAGATCCACGCTATCGCTTCCACGTTCAGTTTCGGTCATGGTCCTCGCTTCTCTTTCCCTCCTTTCCCGGCCCTAGCATGAAGGAACAATTTTTGAAACAAACAAGAAATTAGAAACATACGTAGAAAGTTGTCCTGGCGAGGGGCCCAAACATATGCAGTTGTGGGTACCGCATCGGTGAATATCTTCTTCGGTGCTCCCTATGGGGCCACGAAGCGCTGTACTGGGTGGGGGGGAACGCATGCGGGCGGTAGCACTGGGGCCGTCGGTGGAGCTGCCTATGGGGCCACGAAGGGCTGTATTGGGTGGGTGAAACTCTCAATTGGGTGTGTGTGGATGCCAAATTGGGCTTCCGGCACGCATGCGGACGGTGGCACTGGGGCCTTCGGTGGAGCTCCCTACGGGGCCACGAAGCGCTGTATTGGGTGGGTGAAAATGCCAAATTGGGTTTTCGGGACGCATGCGGACGGTGGCACTGGGGCCTTCGGTGGAGTTCCCTATGGGGCCACGAAGCGTTGTATTGGGTTGGTGAACATGCCACTTGGTTTTCGAGACGCATGCGGACGGTGACACTGGGGCCTTCGGTGGAGCTCCCTATGGGGCCACGAAGCGCTGTACTGGGTGGGTGAAAATGCCAACTTGGGTTTTCGGGACGCATAAGGGTTTTGGCACTGGGGCTTCGGTGGAGGTCCCCACGGGGCCACGAAACGTTGTACTGGATGGGTGAAAATGCCAATTTGGGTTTTCGGGACGCATGCGGACGGTGGCACTGGGGCCTTCGGTGGAGCTCCCTATGGGGCCACGAAGCGCTGTACTGGGTGAGTGAAAATGCCAAATTGGTTTTCGGAACGCATGCGGACGGTGGCACTGGGGCCTTCGGTGGAGCTCCCTATGGGGCCACGAAGCGCTGTATTGGGTGGGTGTAAATGCCAACTTGGGTTTTCGGGACGCATGCGGAGGGTGGCACTGGGGCCTTCAGTGAAGCTCCCTGTGGGACCACGAAGGGGTGTTCTGGGTGGGTGAAACGCAGGGAGGAGGGAGGAGCATGGAGGAGGGGGAGGGAGGAGGAAGGAGGGAGGGAGGAATGCGGGGACCGTCTCTTCAAAGCGAGGACCCAACACCACAGGATGGTTGGGAACAAAGACGAGAAACAAAAACGAGTTCTTCATCCCGAGTCGTTTTCTCACACGCCCGAGGTCCGCTGCAGGCCCCCCCTGGAAGCCAAACACGGCCAGAGACCTCAGGACCCGCTTCCTTCAGGGCCCGCCTCCCCCCCATGGGCGACATCTGGGGCCCCGTCGTCGACCCGCCGTGAGGAACTCGCCCGCGCCCTCGGCGCCGGCGCCAACCGCACGGGAGCGGCGCACGGCGCTTGCGAGCTCGCTGCCCGCTGCGGCAACGCGGGCCGCCACTCGGCGCCGCCGCGGCGGCGCAGGAGGCGGCGAATGGTCGGGTGTTGCTGGAGCCTCATCTCGCAGGCGATTCTCGCCCCCCAGCCCCGACTGTTCCACGAAAAATCAAGCCGCTCATACAGGGAGTCAAATTCTGGGATGCACCCCAGGAGGGCTCATCGGACGCGCCCCTATTGAGGACAGACAGCCCCTGTCCTACATTCCCGAGTTGGGCCCAAGATTTCTGGTCCATTCGAAAACCCAGCGAAGCCTGGGATAGGGGTCGACATACCTCTTGTTACCAACTCCCCTCGTCGTGAAAATCGGCGGCGAAATCCGAACCTTCAGGCAGCTTGATTGGCGGCAAGGATGGGGTCCAGAAGTCGTCGAGCGCGTAGCGAAGTCCGAACCCTACCCCCGCATCCCATCGATTCGATCATCCCGAAGGGCTGCTGGGGGCCCGAACTATGAATCGAAAACCAGATATCCTCGCGTCGTGAAACAGATTCTTGGGTTAGCACTGGTCCTCCTCCTCCTCCTCCTCCTCCTTCCCCTCCTCCTCCTCCTCTTCCTCCTCCTCCTCCTCCTCGAGGAGGAGAAGGAGGAGGGTCGTCGGTCGTCGCCGGGCTGGTACAACGTGCGATGGTCGTCGGGCTCGCCCACAATCCATGATCGCAACCAGGCCCTTGGCCTCGCCGGTCGCAGGAACTGGTGGTTGAACCAGGGCAGGATGGACAGGTGCACCCGGCAAGAGCGCGGTCTGGTCACGACTGCAGTACCCCGCGGGGACGGCACGCTCGACCGGACTACGCGTCGTGATCTTGCTAAGGCTGCTTCCGTCCCGCCTGCCCGTGGACATGACATCCCACGCACCAAGTGGGGAGGTAAAAGCGATGGGGGGAAGAGTTCAGGGTTTGGAGCCGATCCTAACACTAACCCTCCACCTACGACCTCTCCTATCGATGCCATGGCGCAGCCGCTGCTCCGCGCGCCCCAGGCGCGCTGGCAGCGATGCCCGCTGGGCCGGGCGGCGACGCCGCCGCCGCGCCCCTAGGGCGCGCATTGCTCAGGAGTGCGCCGCCTACTGGCGCAACGACCCCGAGGGCAGCGAGTGGGGCCCCAGGCGCTGGAGCTACTTCAACAAGTGCTGGATCTACATCGCGGAGAACAACGACGAGTTCGTGCACCTGCGCGACATCCAGCGCAACCCTCGCTTCTCCGACTGGTACGAGCGGACCGCGTAGGAGACGTACAGGGTCAGCTACGTTGGTCCTGATGGCCGCCGCGTCTGGGACAGCGAGTTCTACCCGCGCGGCCCAGCGGCATACTTCGCGGCCGACAACGCCTACTGGCGTCGGCCGCGAGGCCCACTGCTCGAGATCGCCTGAACTTAGCCGTTGCGGAGTTCACCTCGAGCAGTACCAGACACAACATGTTCGGCCACTTCACTACTATCGAGAAGTGGCCTCGCAGACATTTAAGTGGCGGTCACGGCGCGCTCCTCAGGAGATAACTGCCACAGAGACTCACCCGTCATGACAACGTTTTCTCATGTACTTCTTCGTGCTCATCAACAAGACATTGAATTTGATTTACATCTACGACGCCATAAACATGCATGAGAACGCATTTGCATATCCTCTGTGCGACAGCTGACGGAGCACTGACTGCGTTGATTCGGCGTATTCTCATTTTGACTCCGGTGGCAACTCCCGCTGCTTCCTTTCCTCGTCGATGAGGCTGGACGCAGCGGCTCATGATGTTGCTTTCATTTCCTTAGTTCCTCTTGCTTCTCTCATTCCTTTCATGCCTCGAGTGCCGAAGCGTTTTGGGGGGGCGCGCCGAGGGGCGCCTAAGGGTGTTCGGAAAAGGATCATGGACACTTGGATGCTCCTTCGTTCCTTACCTTGCCCGCTCACACTTTGCAGTGGCGCTGGATAGTGGCAGAAACGTACCCTGCTGGTGTGTTCGAGACATGTGCGCTTTTGAGGAGTAAGACGGTGACAGGTTCTTTGTTCCTTTTCCCGATTCCTGCCCGCGCGGGCGGGATCCGGGACGGGGGGCGCGAAAGGAACCCGTCTCATACCCTCATCTCTACTCCTCACTCGCCTTTTTCGCATGCCTCATCGGCTCAGGTACTGGAAGAGACCAGGGCGCTGGTCGCACAGGAGGAAAATATCCCTAGCTTTCCTTCCATCCTCTACCTACGGATCAAGGGGTTCTGTACCTTTCTACTCTAGCCCCGTGGACATTACGTCTCCCCGACAGACTGCCACTGGGGCCCCCGCATGGAGCGGAAGGTCTCGCGCAAGGTGCCGCGTGAGGTCCCGCCGTAAGTTGCCCGCGTAAGGTCGCGCGTAATAGTTCTCGTTTCCAGCGTAACGTGGCGCACCGGAGGCCCGCGTAAGCCGCGGCGTAAGGTCGCTATGGCATCTCGCGTAAGACCCGTTTCTTATCGTCGTCCCGTGAGACGACGCATTGCCGATGCACCGTCGACGCGACGCGATCCTCCGATCCCATCTATTCGGCCACCATCTGGGAGGCATTTAAGGATCTCACATGTCGGCGGCGAGCCCGGGGGGAAAGTGAGAATGGGCGAGCCTTCTCCGAAGGCTCGGAAGACATCGGGCCTTTTGAAAAGTTTTCTAAACCTTCCCCGAAGACACAAACAACATCTCAGAAGGTTGAAAGGGCTTCTGAGAAGCCCCGCCGCCTTTGAGTAGTGCTGCCCCTTTTCACTTCCCCATGAAAGCCGCGGTTCGGTTCAGTTCGGTTCGACGTGCGCCTGGTCTGGTTCGGCCAGTTCGGCTCGCGTCAAAGACCGGTTCGGTTCGGCTGGTCGGGATCGCGTCGCAAACCAGTCCAGTTCGGCTGGTCCGTAGCCGGTTCGGTTCGGCCGGTTCGGTTTGCGGTTTTTCGGCCGGTTCGGTTCGGCTTGTTCGGCTTGCTTACTCCGATTTTTCGACGCAGTTAAATCCGCTCCGTTCCGATTTTGATGTCCCATTGCCGACCTACCGCGGTCCGATTCCGATTGCCGGCGGGCGGGTTCAGCGGTTCCGACGTGGACGAGGCAGTGGGGGAAGGGAACGGCGGGGCAGGAGGGGAGGGGCGAGGCGTGATGATGGCGACGACGGCGGCGGCGGCGGCGGTTCGCGCTGCCTGCTCCCGCGCGGCGACCCCCGCAGCAGCGGCCCGCAAGGGCCGCAGGACCTCCCCTCAGACCTCCCCTCGGGGCTCCGCCGAGGGCCCCCCCTCAGGGCCCCCCTGCAGGGTATCCCTCGGGCCCTCCTCGGGGTCCCTTTCGGCCCCCCCCCCTACCGGGCGCGGCTTCGCCGCCGAGCAGGGGGAGGCCCAGGGGGCCCCTGGGGCTCCCACGTGGGGGCACCTCGGGCTGGGGCCATTTCTCCGGCAGCCCCCCGGGAGCACCCGGCGCCCGCGACGGCGGCGAGCTGTGAGCCACGGGCAGCCGCGCGGCGCCCCGCGGGCCGCCGTTTGAGGCTCCCGCTTGCGTCGCCCGCCAGGTGGTGGCGCGCGCGACGAGGCCCGCCTACCGCTGGCGCGCCCGGCGCGCCTGTCACAGCTGGCCGCGGCGGCGATCCTCCCTACCTCCTCCTCCTCCTCCTCCTCCCTACCTCCTCCTCCTCCTCCTCCTCCTCCTCCTCCTCTCCTCCTCCTCCTCCTCCTCCTCCTCCTCCTCCTCCTCCTCCTCCTCCTCCTCCTCCTCCTCCTCCTCCCTACCTCCTCCTCCTCTTCCTCCCCCTCGTCTCGGGGCCCGATTTTCTCCACGCCGACTTCGCCGATGCATCGCCAGTGTCGCCGATGCATCGCCGATGCTGCATCGGCGATGCATCGAGGATGCGGAGCGATCCTCCGACCCCATCTACTCGGACCCCATCTGGGAGGCCTCGACTCTACTGTCACAGCTTGCCGCTGTGGCGGTCCAGGTGCCGCTCGTCCGGGCGAAGAAGCGACGGCGGCGAGGGCTCGTAGGCTGGGGCTCCTGCAGGCCGTGCCCGCTGCAGTGACTCCGCTGGAGAAAAGAGACAGGATGACCATGACCAAGATATTTCCCATGGGATCCAGTCGGCGCCGATCTTGGTCATAGTCCATGCCGGCCGTCGCCGACCTCGCGAGGATGATCCACGAATTGACGACGGCCGGGACGAGGGCCAAGATCGGCACCGACGCGTCCGCGCTCAGTCGACTGCTATTGCGTGATACTGCCGTGCGGCTGAAGGAATCAGCAGGCAAACTGGGTGCAGCCCACGAGCCGATCTGTGACATGCGGACTCATGAGGTGAACCGTGGCCTGAGAGAGAGCGGAGGAGGAGGAGGAGGAGGTGACAATCCAACACGTGCTCAAGAAACGAGTAATCAAGTGCGCTGCCCGATCCGGAATCAGGCAGGCGACGCTGCCGTGGCCTCCCATTGCCTCATGTTGCTTCCCGTGGCTTTCCGCTGTCTCCCCCGACCTCCTGTTATTCCCTGTACTTTCTTTCCCGTTGCTTGCCGTAGCCTCCCATTGCCGTCTCTGTCCCCATCCGTCTATCCCCAGCCCATTTGATCCCTATCCTATTTCCTCTCCCCACGTGGTCCCTATCCCTGAATCCCTAGCCCTCTATTCCTGCTCCTGTCCCTGTCCTGATTCCCCCGTCGTGGCTCCCCACCGTGACCTTCCTTCGTGGCCCCCATCGTAGCAGTGTAAAGTTGCGCAGGGTCTTCTGCCGCAATGGCGCCAACTTGCTTTTGACAGGGTAACGGGGGGTCGTCATGATTCTGGGTTTGCCCCTGGTCAGGTCGGGGATGGGGTGTATATACATGAGGAACAGTGACACATGCTCCCCGAATAGAGTGGAGAGGTTGAAGAAGATGGAATCGACAATTCGTTATACCACTAGCGTTTGGAGGGTTGGTGGGATTCAACTCTAAGCCTTGACTGCTGCTGCTGCTGCTGCAGCAGGCCGAATGAAGTGACGTCACCGCCCGTTTGAAACTCTGTGGGAATCAAGCTGTTGGAGAGTCTCCCTGCAATGTTCCGAGGCGTGGCGCGTGTGAACCCTCGTTTGGCGAAAAGTGTCTGGATGTGTTCTCCCAGCGGCATGCGCGTTCATCATTCCCTTCTCCGTTCTCAGCGTTACAGGCTGGCACCTACATAGCTTCCCTGGTTCAAGCGATGATGTTTCCAATGAGTGCCCCACTGTTAAGCGATAAATCAACCAACATCGATGCGGACACAAGCGCGTGGACGACGCACTCCTGGCACGTGAAGAACACCTTTGTTGAGGTGGATGGCATTGGTAGCGAGACCCGCTCTGATCACAAGTCCGGCCGGACTGCACGCAGCTGCCAGCCAAGGATCAGGATGAGCAGCCTTTCGGTGAAGCCCACGGGTGAAGTGCAGTGCGAAGCTGGCGCCACGGGCAGCAGCGTCGTCGCAGCTCCTGCTGTTGCCAGCGCTGCCGCCGTGGGCACTGCCTCCGTGACCTCCGCAGAGACTGCCCAGCAAGGAGCACACGAGGCGGACCGTGACCAAGGGACGACGGCGGTGCCAGGCAGTGCCTGCCGAGAGCAGCAAGAGCATGGGCGCGGCAAGACCTCGAAGGACGGCAGCCTGACTTGCATGACCGAACGGCCCCACTGGCCGTCGTCGACGATTGGAGATCAGCTGAAGCTGCTGCAGAGGGAGCATGACCACCAGTGTGTGTTCGTCGCCCGGCGGCTTCACACCTTGAGCTTCGCGTCGGAGAGGCTGGTGGCGTCGCACTTCTCGGCGTTCGGGCAGGTCAAGAGGGTGCTGATCGCGCACACGAAGGCGACGCGCTCCCTCGAGGCCGCGGCGCGGGTGCGGCCCGGAAGCATCGGCTTCGTGGTGATGGCGCACGCCAGCGCCGTCACGCGCATCCTGGAGTCGGGCAGCCAGCAGGTGGTAGCCGGGAAGAGCATCGTCCTGGAGCCGTTCCGCCCCGGGCCGCTGTAGGAGGGGCTGCGGCGGCGACGCCGACACGAGCCGCCTTCGGCGCGCCCGCGGGGGTGCTCTCATGCTCACCTCGCCCCGGCCAGCAGCCCAGGCCCCTCCGCGCCCGGCCTCGGCACCCGCCCGCTGAGCGTGGCCTCACCGGATGCGGGGCCCGAGCTTGTACACCACCGCCACCTCCCTCACCCCCTCCCTCTCCCAGGAGAGAGGAGAGGAATGGGAGGGCAGAGGAGGGAGGAGGAATCGACGTGGTGGTGGTGTGTAGTCTTGGGGCCCGCAGGGAGCGAGCGCGGCCCCAGCCCACGGGGCAGATTCGCCCGACGGAGCCTCGTGGAGAGAGGTCGCCCCAGGGCGAGGGCACACGCGAGCCGCGCCTCGGATCGGCCCAGCGAGGTGGAAGTCTTTGCACGGCGGAAGTTTTAATGCACTGGCGCACGTGGCAGGGGCGCCTCGGTCCCCGTTCCGCCCCGTGGCCGTGAGCTGAGCAAGGCTCGTGGCCGGTGGCGTGGGCCTTGGCGAGCCGCTCGTTTTAGCTCGGACGGGGGGGCGGGCGAGAGGGGCGGGGCATGGGAAAGAGGGGCTACAGTCGAGACGTTGGAGCGGTGCGGGTTCGGAAGGGGCTTACTGCTGCTGCTGCTGCTGCTGCTGCTGCTGCTGCTGCTGCTGCTGCTGCTGCTGCTGCTGCTGCTGCTGCTGCTGCTGTTGCTGCGACCACAGCTTTTTAGTTCAAGACCCGCGTAGCTGAGCCAATTGTAAGGCAGACTTCTACCACGCAACCGGTAGAGCGGTACTTGAAAAAGTGTTGCCTTGATCCCCTCTCGCACACAACAGTACAGTGTTCACATGGACCATCGAGAGGGTGCGGCAAATGGCGCTGCCGACGCCTCCACGAGGGGAAGGGATGAGCGTCCCTCCTTCCGCTCGGCGCTCGACGAGATCAGCCGAGAGCGGAGCCCCCGTCGGGGTAAGGGCAGTGACCAGAGAGCTCATGACAACAAATCAACGAGCACTCCGGACATTGCAGAGCTTCGTCAACTCATGGGAGAGATGATTAAATCAAACATGCAGATGCAGAAGACCATATTGGAGAATATTGGGCAGCTGACCCAGGCTATGCATGCCACGATGCAGCAAGCAGGGTCGGCAGCTGCATCCGCAGCTGCGGAGGCAGAGCGTGCCGCCGCCAACACAGCAGCAGTGGCAGCCACTACAGCAGCGGCCGTCGCCACAGTAGCCAGCACTGGTGGCGCCCCTGCGCCCGCCGCGGCAAGCAGTAACACGGGCAAGATCCCAAAGGACCTCCAGGGAGCCCTCGAAAAGTTGCGGTCCACCTTCGAGGGCGACCTGCGGAAGTGGATTAACGCCAAGAAGAGGGCTGAGCGAATCGAGCGCGACGTCAAGATCTTCTCCGAAGGGCCAGGGCGATACCCACCTGGCACCAGGCCGTTCCGATCCTCATCGACGTTATCGGAGCTGGATGAGAAGTGGGAGAAGAGCACCACTGGCGAGCACAGCATCACCATCACCATTCCCAAGGAGTCCACTCACAGGGAGGCGATGGCACACATGCACTGGGAGGCAGCACGGATCCACAAGGACATCGAGTTCGCTTCAGCCCAACACAAGATGGGGACCACGAGGGCGGCTGCGCAAAGGCATACTTTTGCAGAAGCGGTCTCCGCGCTGGTCCGGGAGGCGAAGGACAAGGACCGCGCGGCGGCCCTCGGCCTCAACGAACCCTTGTACGAGACGATCCCCGAGGACGCCGTGCAGGAGAAGGCCGAAGCACTCTACCAAGCTGCAGTGGACAAAATCTCCAAAGAGGTCACCCAGAAGGAGGAAGAAGAACGGAAGAAGCATGACAAAGAAAAGGAACAAGAACGTGAACTCTTGGCAAAGGACCCAGCAAACCTCCTCGAACTTGTCATCGACGCTCGCATCGACGACAAGCTGAAGCATGAGCCCGAGGAGGCCTCCGACAGGATGGAGGACGACCATCAGCCAGAGCTGCACCCTGCCGCCTCAAAGTTCTGCGAAACGGTAATGACAAAAAACGGGGCCGCCCCGGCTGGCAAGCCGGGGGGGGCACAACACATCGGCAACGGCAAGGGCAAGTACAACGCCAAGTACAACACCAGCACGAACAACACGTTTACTGGCTATCCCAAGAAAGACGACAGGCGCAAGGGCAAGACCAACGCGTCTCCCAAAGGAGCTGGTGCTGGAAAGGGGAAGAACACAGCCAAGGGCGAAGAGTCACGAAATTGGAAGACCAAAGGGTTCCCCAAGGGACGCGGCAAAGGAAAAGGGAAGGACACGGCCAAGGGCGACAACACAAGAAAAGGCTTAGGCAAAAAACGTGGCGGCAAAGGCAAAAAGAAATGAAGCAGTCTGCAGCGCCAGTGCGCTGGATGACCAGGCTCACGGAGGGCCTGGACCTTGGAGACCTGCTCACAATCCTCAACTGGAAGGAAAATCAGCACCGCGTCAAAAGATACGATCCCCTTACGAAGTCTATGGTTGATGACAGTGCGATCCCATGGCCCATCAAATGGTTGATTTTGCGCCGACACAGGAAGCACATTTTCCAATCACGTGGGTTGCCATCGATGGAACGCGTCCGTTTGAAAGTCACTGATTTCGCGAATAGGATCAAATGGCGGTGGTATTACCAGCAGTACCCTCCAGAGGCTGTTGATTTCACTCTACCTCGCTCTTCTCGAGTCGCCCCGTTTTGCCCAGAGCACAGCATAGGCACGAACTATGAGTGGAGGATGTTGGATCGGTGGCTTACTTCTGTGAAAAAGAGGCTTCTCGATGCCGTTCGGAAGAGCCGGTCAGCACATAGGTTTGGTGATCGAAGTTATTCCAATTCTACGGCGCTCGAAAGGCTTGCCTTGAGGACCCTCAGGAGCAGCGAGTATGTTTGCCTTCCGAACGACAAGAACAGCAGGTATTCTCTGGTTCGCAAGTCCGACCTCCCAGGGATGTCGGCCAGGATACTTGACTCTAACATGTACATATGCATCAGCCCGCATGGCCTCCTGAATAGCACCATAGAGACATATAAGAACTTGTGTTCCGAGGTTGCCGACGTCATCGGGCAGCCGCGCGCTGGCAGACGGATGTTCAGGACCGTTTTCTTCTCGAACGCAACGTTCTTCAGCCGTCTGCAGCTCACCGTGAAGGACCACAAATCAGAAGGGGAAGTATCGTGCCGACCAGTGCACGCGACGCCCACGTACATTTTCAGCGGGCTCAGCGCGTGGGTCGTCTCAGTTCTTCGGGACAAGCTCGACGAGCGTGCGCCCCATCTCCTCCGTGATTCTTCTGATCTGATCCGCAGGCTGCAAAATTTGCACCCTGACCGCACGTGGCACTTTTGCAAGGTTGATGTGAAAGATTTTTACCTTAACGGTACGGAAGACCAGATCGTGTCGTGCGTCATGTCCTTGTTCGATGTCCGCGACACCATCTACAGTACCCTTGAGAAGGTCATTCGTTTTCTATTGCGGTGCCAATTCGTACGGGATCCTTGGGACGATTCGCCAGACAGGGTCTACCAGGTGATATCTGGTTCAGGGATGGGGCTCCTCCATAGCGGGGAGCTCGCAGACTGCACTTTCTTAGGTCTCGTGGAGCAGCACCTCCTCCTCCCTAGCATTTTGGATGATCACGGCATCAGGGGGTATTTCAGATTCCGTGACGACATTTTGCTTCTCGGTCAAGGCCTAGCGTCCAGGGCCAAACAGTTTTATGATCGAATGCGGGCCAGAGCTGTCTTCTATCCTTTGACGGTAGAGTGGTCGATGTGGAGTGTTGATTTCCTAGAAGTTTCCATCCACAAAGGAGATGGGAGATTCGATGTTTCACATTTTCTTAAACCCACCGCTTTGGCACCCCCGCTGGGGACGAATAGCTCGCACCGTTTTCCGATCCATGCTTCCTGGCCGAAGGCTTACGTGAACCGAGTAAACAAGCTCTGTAGCAATCCAGACCTCTTCCAAGCTTCTGTGCACGACGTCTTAGAGCGTCTGAAGGCAAACTTTGCAAGTAGCTTCACGCTGCAGGCGGTTAGAGCAGCCGCCCTGCAGAGCCAGAGGCGTTACGACACCAACGGTTCCAGGGTCAAGCAAAAGAGTTTTTGCTGGCTAGTGCTGGGTCACCACCCAGCGCTAGTGAGCCCAATTAAGAGGGCCCTCAATGGCATCAACGAGGATGCCTTGCTCAACTCATGGCTTGCGGTGGCTTTCCGAGATCGGAGTGGGGATAGCCGGCAATCCATCAATGCGAGTTGGGCGAACGCAGCCCCATCTCTTTACAGATACTTGCATGGCATAGCCTATGGAGCAGTGGCTGGGGTAGGTGGTGGATAGCTGTTGCTGCGACCACAGCTTTTTAGTTCAAGACCCGCGTAGCTGAGCCAATTGTAAGGCAGACTTCTACCACGCAACCGGTAGAGCGGTACTTGAAAAAGTGTTGCCTTGATCCCCTCTCCTCTCGCACACAACAGAACAGAACAGGAAGAGCATCGTCCTGGAGCCGTTCCGCCCCGGGCCGCTGTAGGAGGGGCTGCGGCGGCGACGCCGACACGAGCCGCCTTCGGCGCGCCCGCGGGGGTGCTCTCATGCTCACCTCGCCCCGGCCAGCAGCCCAGGCCCCTCCGCGCCCGGCCTCGGCACCCGCCCGCTGAGCGTGGCCTCACCGGATGCGGGGCCCGAGCTTGTACACCACCGCCACCTCCCTCACCCCCTCCCTCTCCCAGGAGAGAGGAGAGGAATGGGAGGGCAGAGGAGGGAGGAGGAATCGACGTGGTGGTGGTGTGTAGTCTTGGGGCCCGCAGGGAGCGAGCGCGGCCCCAGCCCACGGGGCAGATTCGCCCGACGGAGCCTCGTGGAGAGAGGTCGCCCCAGGGCGAGGGCACACGCGAGCCGCGCCTCGGATCGGCCCAGCGAGGTGGAAGTCTTTGCACGGCGGAAGTTTTAATGCACTGGCGCACGTGGCAGGGGCGCCTCGGTCCCCGTTCCGCCCCGTGGCCGTGAGCTGAGCAAGGCTCGTGGCCGGTGGCGTGGGCCTTGGCGAGCCGCTCGTTTTAGCTCGGACGGGGGGGCGGGCGAGAGGGGCGGGGCATGGGAAAGAGGGGCTACAGTCGAGACGTTGGAGCGGTGCGGGTTCGGAAGGGGCTTACTGCTGCTGCTGCTGCTGCTGCTGCTGCTGCTGCTGCTGCTGCTGCTGCTGCTGCTGCTGCTGCTGCTGCTGCTGCTGTTGCTGCGACCACAGCTTTTTAGTTCAAGACCCGCGTAGCTGAGCCAATTGTAAGGCAGACTTCTACCAGCAACCGGTAGAGCGGTATTGAAAAAAGGTTGCCTTTTGATCCCTCTCGACCACAACTGTACTGTGTTACATGGGGACATTCGTGAGGGCGCGGCAAATGGCGCTTGCCGACGACTCCACGAGGGGGAAGGGTTGGGAGCGTCCCTCCTTCGCTCGGCGCTCGTCGAGATCTGCCGAGAGCGGAGCCCCGGTGGGGTAAGGGCAGTTGACCAGCGAGCTCATGACAACAAATCA